CCCTCCATCTCCCACCCACACCCTCTCCCCACCCCCCCCCTCCCCCCCCACCACCTCTCCCCACCTCCCCCCCACCCTCTCCCCACTCCCCGCCTCCATCGCCCCCCCACCCTCTCCCCATCTCCCCCCCCACACCTCTCACCACCTCCCCCTCGCATCTCCCCCCACCCCTCTCCCCACCGTCCCCCCCACCGCTCGTCCCCACCTCCCCCTCCTCTCCATCCCCTTCCCTCCCCCACCCTCTCCCCACCTCCCCCCTCCATCTCCCCCCTCTATCGCACTGACGCAGGACCCACGGCCCCACGGCAGGGTGGGTGGGTGGGGAAGAGGCGTGACGTCATCACGCACGAACCCGGCTCAACGTTGTGGAATTCGGATGACGTCATCACGCAGATGCGTGTGGCGGCGTCATCTCCGCGTCAGGAATTCCAGGCAGGCAGGAATCCAGCCAGAAAACAATCCGATGGTGTATCAATCTCATTCTACATCGCTTTGCGTACAAAGTACTCAATCCATCCCACGACCGTGCGTGACACCCTCACCTGCGGTAAACCATCAAGGCGAATGGGTCGGAGTGCGTGAGAGCGGAGGGAGGGCCGTAAGTTGAGGTCATGGCATGGGAATGTGGGGGGTGAAGTCGTTTTTCAAACAAAAACATGAACAACGTTCATAAGTGACCTTGCCTGGGAACAGAAAAGATACTGCGTGTTCATAAGATGGGTCCAAGTCGTGTGTCTCTGTGTTACGGAGCAGTGTGTCTGTCTTGTGTGTTGTTGTAACGCTCTTACCCACCCCGACTGGACATCTGCGAAAAATAGCTGGACAGGTCATCGGATTCCTCCAGCACAAAACATATTCTGATTCTGTGTTAATAACGACGACGGTGAGGTTTGTCTTTCTATCATTTGTGTTCAAGTGTACAACAACATCGTCATCAACCATGGTCAACCCACTGCTGGATAAAGGCCTCCCCAAGCCGCTGCCATCTCTCACGAGCCTCAAACAATCCAGGTCGTTGGCCTTCCTCCGCATCTCCGATCGGCACGGTGGGCTACGTAGGATGCGAAAGACGTTCAACGTACACACATCGCACCCCCACGGGTCACGTGACATGTTTGTTCTTGCAGCAGAAGAGATCCCACCAACAGAACTTCGATCGCAAACAAAACGTGGAGAATGCGCCACAGTGTTACACCCAGACAGCTGGACATTCACAATGTCGCTTCTCACGCTAATGTAAGAATTGACTTGGATACGCATTGGGCCGTTCTTGTGAAAAAAAACGAAACCGATTCAATTGCGAGCGGTGTCCCTGGTTAAATCTCTCAACTCAGAAGTAGCAAACGATTTAAACTGGAACCCGTGGTCTGTCTCCGTGGGGACCTCCCTGGCTCCTGCCATGACAATGGCATTGGCGCCACTGGCTCCGAGCCACCGTGGGGCCCCGCATTGCCTCGAGCCATGAGTGGCGACGTCACGGCCCCACGTGGGTCCCATGTTTAACCGTGACGTCACAACGGCAGCATGTGGTGCTGCAGGGTTTACCGTCTTCCGCGGAGCGATTGAAGCAGCAGCAGCAGCAGCGACGACGAAGCCGTGCAAGGTCAGCAACCCCCAGCACTCAACTGCCCCCCACTCCCCAGCAGGCATGCCCCCCACCCCACCCATTAATAGACTTTCCACAATTAGCTTGGCCAGGCTTCGAGACAGCCGCCCCCGTCTCGGCCAGCGCAGTATGCCGAGCGACAGCCATCGTGCGGGGTTTGCATGAGCGCTGTGTTTTTTCTGTCGCTGGAGTTTTAATGTTTAATGTTTTCTGGCTGCATTCGTCCGAATTGTTTTCACTTCCATCGCAGGTCTGTGCTAATTTATCGAGGCTCCGTTGCATTTTCAAGTCACTGTTCGTTCCAAAGCCACATTTTTACTTTACAAAAGTAAAATTCACCTTTTGTAGCCCGAATGCGTTGAATTTAAAATGTCTATTTTAAACAGTAATAAAAAAACTACGTTATGTAATTTAGGCCATCCTGACAAGAGGCAATGGATGTTTCATGGGCCTCAACGGGTCTACATTTCATCTCGTTAAATGATTACTATGATTACTAGGACGATTGTTTACCCAGGAAAACCTCAAAGTCTCAGGACTCCTTTTCAGGAGCGCCCTGCCAAGTTCAGTAGATGGGCAATGTTTCACCATACGTAATTCCAATTGAATAAGAATTTGCAGTTAATGTTTCGGTATTGGGATGTTTGGCCATTACCACGTACATTGGAGATTAACATCACACAGCTCAAGCGGATAGCAGTTGGAAACGAAGACGAAGCATATAAAATGTTACCCTTTATTGTTCAAGAGTTATGTACAGATGTACATTTGTTCAAGTAGGAGTACAAATTGCTGGACACACAGTATTTGGATGCTAAACATCAGGCACCTGCTGAAGGGGAATGTAATGGTTCTGCCGAAAAAAGTGCAGCGCTTTGTTGCTTCATTCACAAAAGTTCACGGTCAAGTTTTCATTTTGAAACGTCGCTGGAATGATTACAGAGTGACGGAAAAAAAAAAATCACGAACAAAAAATTGGTGCAGGAAATGTTACAAGTAAAAAAATAATCCATAAAACCAAAACAAAGCATGCTTTAAAACCTTTTCGGGAAAACAAACGTTCACAATGTCTGTTGTAAAATGCACTTGCATAGTTTCAATGAAACGTAGGAATCGACACATATTGCAAATGTTCATTTTAAAAAAACCTAACTTGGTAATTTCAACCTTCACCTATTTAACAATCAGTGCATATCAGCGAAAACTAAAAACGTCTCTTGTCTTCAATATTTGAGCACCATCATCGAGTAGCAGCAACTATCTATACAAAAACCACGGTCATAGAAACCCTCCGTGAAATGATACATTCGTGTGGGGCGTGCCGTGCGAGGCTGCCTTCAATGCCCACCACGTGCTAGCAGTGCGAACCAGGCACCCCCCCCCCCCCGCCGGTGCGCCCGACGCGGCGTTCGCAAAGCGAGCACCACGGAGGGGCCGGCGATCGAGGCGCTTTGCGGTCACCGCATCTCCAGGTGGCCGCCGGGAGGAGGAGGAGCGGTGCCTGCCGGGCGCATCGCAGGCACGCCAATACTCACAGCATCCCACAAGTTGATGGATTGTCACGATTTTCAAGCCGAGAGATTTGATACGAAAAATATTGTTTTGCCTATTATTCATCGGTGTTTTTGTTTGTTCCATCTCCTTTGATCCATTGGCCTTAATGGAGTACGCTTGTTTGTTTTCAGTCAATTTGCATAAATTGTAAATAATTATTGCGCACACGATTGGATGCTTGTATGTGAACATAGAAATTGATTTGAATCTACTCATTTTTGCCTACTCCACACACAGCCCCCATACTCCACACACACACACAGCCCCTCCACTCCACACACACACACAGCCCCTCCACCCACACACACACATAGCCCCTCCACTCCACTCACACACCCTCCACTCCGCTCACACACCCACACCCTCTACACACACAGCCACTCTACTCCATGTAGGAGGGAGCGTAGGAGAAGCCGACAAATGCGTCGTCGGCCTCCTGGGCGCTGCGCAGCGCCGCCTCCTCCTCCTCCTCGCCCGAGCGGCACACGGAGCCCGGCACGGGCTCCTCCGTGAAGGCCGGGTCAAAGTGGCTCAGGTCCGACGGTCCCAGCTGCAGAACGCGCACACAGGTCAGCGTGGTTCATCATCATCATCATTATAGTCATCATTTAATCGCAGTTGACGAGCACAGGGCCAAAGGCTCAAAGCGGCAAATGGCCAGCAGCAAACAGAACTTTTCAAGTTCGCAAATCGATGGATGATACTGTACACAGGCTATTGAATCCAGCAAGGTGATTACGAGAGCTTGAGAAGAGGGGCCTTCGGAGGGAATTCCAAAGTGAAGCGGTAAAATGGAGCTGAGTGAAACTCGTGGCAAACGGGCAAAGTGCAAGGGGGGGCCAAGGAGATGGCAGCAGTCCTGGATCATCGAGTCTCTGTGGATCTATCATGGTCCTTGCACACGCTGCCAAACTCTCACAAACATCCCAATGTCGCAAGACCCTCCTGAGAATGCTTCGATTCTCGACCAGGATACCCTTGACGCGTGTATGCCAGTTAAAATCTCCAGGTCGACTCGGCTCATTGTTTTGATCGAGTACCACTGTAGGAAGAAGTCAGTAGTGCCTGCCATGGGGGATTGTGCAAGTTCCATGATTGACCAAGGAATACCAGGGAGCGTAGGCCCCTGATGGATACCAATAGAGGAGCACTCCTCATGCTCCGTAACGTGGGAGAGCAGTACATGAAGTGTCACGGGACTGGGAAGGCGGCGGTATAGATTGTGTTTTTCTCCCGCAATCTCAAGCGTACCACATTGGGGTCGAAGGGAGGCTTAATCTTCTTGTTGTAGAGGTCTTCCCAGTTGATCGGTGAAAAGAAGACGTGGTTCTTGATTTCCAGCTGCAAGAGATCACACAATTTATGGGAAGTCAGCCAGCGATTCAACTGCGGCCCCTGATGGGAATACAGAACTTCCCCGGCTAAGTTCACGGCTCTCGATGTAAATGTGCCCACCTCATCCAAGCAGGGCTAAGGAAGAAGGGCCAAGCAAAGGGTGAATGTGGCGAGGGCAGGTCAAGTAGTCCAAGGGCCCACAACAAACATTTTACTTTGCACGCACCACCCGCCTTTGAAAATCGCCCAAGGTGGACTACGCAATAACGTTGCTTAAATATCTATGAAATCATAGGATGCACTTTTATTCTCCATATACAGAAGCTGCTATCAAGAAAACTTTTGTCACCACTCGAGTGATAGTCAATTCTGCTCTGGTCCATAAACTAAAACAAGCCGCCGGGCTGCCACAGAGCTGCTGGGCCACCGGGCCACCGGGCCGCTGGGCCGCTGGCGGACAAAAAACGGGGGGAGGGGGCCGCAGGGTGCACGCCGCTTACAAAGTCCCCCTTGGCGCCGAGCCTCTTCTCGCGGTCCTTCTGCAGCAGCCCCTCCAGGATGGAGCGCGTGGCGTTGGTGGTGATGGGCGGCAGCTGCAGCGGCTTGTTCAGGATGTTGTCGTACATCACCGTCGTGTCCATGTTGTAGAACGGCGGCTGCAACGCGCAAGACAAAGATTCAATTATTTTAGATTCGGGATCGCCCCATCATTACGCAAGTCCAAACACCGTTCATTCTTTGTTCATCTCTTGCGGCAGTTTCCCCGCCCCCTCCCCCATCAAATGGGACAGGACAGGTTCTTGAGCAAACGATCATATACAGAGACTATATGTGCTCAACAGTGTCATTGTTTTATATTTGCTTTTACGTAAAAATGTGGAAATGCAAGCGGCTGGATGATGGAGACGACCCCTGCTTCATGTTATTTTATTTTTAAGTACAAATGAACAAGTTATTAATAGAATCAAGCGAAATTATATCATTAGTATTGTATTAAGTGCACCTGTTAATCAAGACACCATTAAATAAATCTTATTACAGCATCTGATGTTTATATGGAAAGGGCAGTGAAGTGGGGGTTATTTTTGTTACGTTATATGTTTTTTATTTATTTAAACCAAGCACCCTTTGCCGAACGCACGACAATGGGACGTGTTACGCCACAAGTTAACCCTCACCACCACAAAAGCTGTGGCGGTAACCATGTAACCACGGTAACCCGCACTGAGTGGTGGGGGGGGGGGGGGACCACGAGGCCGCCCCCACCCCCGTCCCACTGGGCGCAGCCTCACCAGGCCGTAGAGCATCTCGTAGAGCACGGCGCCCAGGCACCACCAGTCCACGGTGCGGTCGTAGGCCTGCTTGCGGAGAACCTCCGGGGCGAGGTACTGTGCACGCACGGCGGGGGGGCGACGGAAGGGGACAGGGCAGGGCGTCACGGCCGGATCTGCCAAGTGCGCTCACAGAACCTGCCTCCTGGCGACTTTAACCGTCAAAGTGGTTCAGCGGCCGAGCGAGCGGCCTTGCCATCCGAAGGTTTCAAAGTTCAAATCCTGGTTGTGGGTTAACCTTCGCCCATCGCTGCTCCAGGGTGGATAAAATAAGTACTACTTTGAGGAAGTTAACAGTGGTTACCGCTTTTGATGGACTCTCCCCTGCCTAAGGAACATGCCATTTCCACCGCCGGCGACTCGGCTGTTTAATATTAAATAAGAAAAGCACCGTCTCAGTACTCATTTGAGCACAAAATCACCAACATTAAAATGCCCACCTCAGTTTGTACAATGACATGTGAAACGAGGCGATGGGTTAGTTGAGAAACTGCTCAAGGTGTGTGTTTAGTCGTGGTGGGTGTCGTCACCTCTGGGGTTCCACAGAACGTGGAGGTGGTGTCGTTGGGGAGGATGCCTTCCTTGCACAGCCCGAAGTCGGTGAGCTTCAGGTGGCCCTGTCACAACCGCATTGCAACAAAGCGTCAGCGGCCACAACTTGAAATCCCGCAAGAAAACAACTCGGCAAGAAAAATAAAACAAATCTGCATGCGGCCGAGATCAACTGAAGCTCACCTCATGATCCACCAGTATGTTCTCAGGCTTCAGGTCTCTGTGAAGACAACAACAACACGCACACGTTAATTACAGAAATCCTAGTTTTTCGCATTAAATTTGGAGCACGCCAGAATGGGTCCCCCAAGAGAGGGAGCGATGAAATCGGTTCGCGTGGAGGAGCTGGGTGGAATTGTTGCTAGCACAAGATCGCAGGAGGTGGAAGCGGCTTGGAGGGGGGGGCGGGGGGCCTTCGTCCAGCAGTAGAGCGAGCATGGCTGACGACAACGATGTAATGACCCTCTGGTAGTGAGCTGTGCGTGGGGGGGGGGGGGCAGGGTCCCGCACCTGTAGACGATGTTGAGGGAGTGGAGGTAGCCGATGGCGCTCGCCATCTCAGCGCTGTAGAAGCGTGCACGCGGCTCCATGAAGCACTGCTCCCGCTGCAGGTGGAAGAACAGCTGCAGCGCACGCGAGAGAGAGCCGGCCGTGAGCAACAGGGACACAATCAATCAGCCCTGCTCAATCCACCGATGGATGAAGGCCTCCCTCGCAAACTTGCGATGCGATCATCGACACAGGGCCTCCACCCGACCCGTGACCTCGCTGCTCGTTCTCATCGTTCCGGCTGTTCGGGTTCGAATGTCTCCTCAATGCTTCTTTATCGCTGCTCATTTCAAGAAGCTGAAGAGACGCGTTTACTTTAACCTACTACAGTTTTGATCGTGCGGTTAGTTGCTGGGCAGCCTTCTCGTCTAATTCGCCACGTGCACCGACATTGACGTCAACGTGACCAGCTGGGCCGTGTCCCGTGCTGCCCGATCGAGATACCGAAGACACCCCCCCCTCCTTCCCACGGCAGCGCGGGCCTCTCCGTGCCACTCACCTCGCCACCGTTGATGTAGTCCAGGACGAAGTAGAGCTTGTCGGTGGTCTGGAAGGAGTAGTGGAGCCCCACCAGGAAGGGGTGCTTCACGTTCTTGAGCAGCACGTTCCTCTCCGCCATGATGTGCTTCTCCTGCAGGATTGGAATCAGAATATTTATGGTGGAGGAATCCGACGAGCGACAAAGCTCTTTGTCCCAGATGCCCCGCACACGGAGACCGGCAGCAGCAGCAGCGGCGCGCCGCTAGCAGCAGCAGCGGCGGCGCACTGCTCTCATGTCAGGCCCCCCCCCCCCCCCCCCCAGCTGCTGCTGGACGAGGGCCGCCCCACCGGGAGTTGTTGTCGCTGCTCACGGCGCGACGTTTTACTTGCTCAAGTTAACGGGAAGTGGTGCCAATCTCGGTTGATGACCCCGAGCCAGCAGTGGAAATATGACAGTCGACTTTGCACAAAGTGACGTTCATTAAAAGTTACACTCCGGAGACGCTGGGAGGATGCGACCTCAAGAGAAATACCGAGAGCACATCATGGCTAATTGCCCACGCCTATGCCAAGTCACTATTTGCAGCACTCCCAATGAATAAATGCAACGCAAGTTGACGCACCTCTTTCCGTTTGAGAATGGACTCCTTTTGCAGAACTTTCACAGCAAAAAACTTCCCATCGGCCTTGTGTTTGGCCAGAAGAACCTGCAGAACACGGCAGCAACATTTAATAACGATTCATAATTATTATGATTTGCTAAAACCGCAAATTTGCACCTCGAGTGAAGAAGGTTCGGCGTCAATGAAATGCATACAGCAAGGCGATTAGTTTCAGGATAAAAAAAACACAAACCTTTCCAAAGCTGCCTTTGCCAATAATTTTCATGAAGTCAAAATCGCTTGGTTTTGCACTAGAAACATAAATGACAACACGCATATTAGAACTTGTACACAAGACCACAACATTGTACATCCTAACAACCGGAACAGGTGTGAATGGGAGCAAGTTTCTAGAGATGAGACACTCACTGAGGGTTTGCAGATGGCCCCAGGTTAATCATCTCAGTTGGAGCCACAGTCTGCTGCTGCTGCTGCTGCACACAGAAGAAAGCGATGCAAATTAACCAAACGCTCCACTGATGTGACAGCATCTCCCACCCCCCCTCCCCCCACCAATGGTCCCTCCCACCAGAACCAGATCCAGCGAGAGCCGTCCGGTTGTTGTGCAGACCCCAGGAAGAGCCGGGGTCTCCGGTGACACCAGCAGCATTCCCATGAACACAGAAGTCTCACGGTGCCACACCCCCCCCCCCCCCAATACCGCTACCAGCCCCCCTCCCCCAATACCGCTACTAGCCCCCCTCCCCCAATACCGCTACCAGCCCCCCTCCCCCAATACCGCTACCAGCCCCCCTCCCCCAATACCGCTACCAGCCCCCCTCCCCCAATACCGCTACCAGCCCCCCCCCAACTGTGCAGCTCCATCAACTCCCAACCTCTTCAGATGGAGGTGGCATCCAACCCCACCATTATTTTTAGCCATGACCCAGATGTATCGACACGTCAGACTGCCGCTGGTGGGTTATTTTACATCTTTGCTCGAGACTGCTAGAACCAGACTGTCCCAGGGACTGCACAATGATTACGGTGCAACATGGCGAGAGACATTCACCCAGCAGCAGAAAATGAATCATGGCCCATGCTGCCGATTATCCGATACACAAAGGTCCTGAAATCAGAATGTCTCTCTCGACTGGAAGAGGAATCCGATGAGCCATGACGCTCTGTTCAATAGATGTCCAGGACGGCCGGGTCAGCAAGTTACAACAGCAATGGGCACATTCCTAGGAACGCCTGCGCCCTGGCCATAGTAACGTGGCGTGGCTGCTCGGCCCGCCACTCACTTTGTTTCCATTGTCGTGGTCGGCCTGTGTGTTGGGGCCGCCGCTGGTGGGAGGCACGGAGGGGCACGTGCACGTGGCGGCGCTGCAGTCACGGACAGCAGCGTCAGTTGGCGTTCACCACTCACGGCGCTCATCAGCAATGATTAGACAATAACAACGAGCATCACTTATCTAGCAAAGACGTTGTAAAAACACGCAACTGGCTCAGTTGCAGCGTTTAAGAGATGCAAATTTAGCAAGTCAATGATAGCAATTTAAGCAACGTTGTTTTGTAGGAGCATTAAAAAAAAACTTTCATTCACACGCTGGCGCCGTTGATTCCACAGTAATTGCTAGGTGCAATATATGCATACAATCAATAGAATACTCGCATGAACTCAATACAGTACTCGTGTTCACTTGTAAGGCGCTGCCGCACGCGACTCGCTCTCGTATAGAGAGAGAGAGGAGGAACCACAGACGAGCGGGAAGGCAGCCGGCGACAACAATTGCCCAAGCTCTGCAATCCTCTCTATGTCAGGGTGTTATCGGCAGCAGTCACGCGAGCGTGCTGCTGCTGCACGGCGCCGGGAGTTGCGGTCGCAATTCGACGCGATGTACAACTTGGGATGATATTGTCGAAAACACGTGCAGTAGGCCGACGTTTCAGATAACGCTTCCTATTCAGAGCAGAAGGGCCATTGCACGAAAGTTTTAAATTACCACACAAGTGTTGGTAGTATTTCCTTTGCTCCGAGTCCGTGGTAAATGTTCCATACCACCAACCCACACAATACACATCTACGAAGTCGGGCAATAACAGCGCGACTGCGTTCAGAGCGTGACGAGCGGGATGACGGGGGGGGGGGGTGTTCTAATCAGAGATCGCAACAACCGGAGAGCGACCGTCGTGTCTCTTCCGTACGAGCCACGAGACCCGGCATGGCTCGGTAGCTGGCGTGCATCTCGTTTGGGAAGAGGAGCACAGAGGCCAACTCACCTTTTACACACGGCTTGGTGGTGGTCCGTGGCCACGAGCTTGTGCACGAAGTCATTGAAGCCAGCTCCCCTCTGCTTGAGGAATCCTGCGCCGGGAGCAAGCCGCGTGGGTGACAATTAGCGAGAGGCAAACATCACGAAAACATCGCCCAGCGCGCGTACCCATCGCCGCACGTGGCTGCCGCATCGCCGCTCGGCGCCGGTGTCGCCTGCGCCCTTTACCCAGCAGCACGGAGGCCAGGCCCCTCATCCTCGTGGAGCTCAGAGCGCCGACGATGTCTTGGTCCACCAGCATCACGCACCCGGCGGGCGGTGTGGAGGTCGTGGCTGGACGGATGGGCGAGCGAGCGCTGCCGGATGGATGGATGGATGTATGGCTGGTTTGGTTGAAAAGGTGGCTGGGCGGACGAGGAGTGTGTGGCTGGTGGATGAAGAGTGTGTGGCTGGTGGATGGGCGGGAGGGGCGCGGGGCCAAGCGGCTCCGCCAAACCGCTGGAGCGCCCCTCCGAGCCGGCGAGCCAAGGCAGCGTTCACAGTGTCCACTGCCTTGCGCCTGCCGGGCAGGGCTTTTATAGCGAGCAGGGAGGTCTCACATCTGGTGTCTGTTCCTCCTCCCGCTATCCCCATCCCCCACTCGTCACACCCCACCCCCACTCTCGCCATACTGGTAAATCCCGACCCCTCCTCGTCTCTCCTCCCTTCATCTCACGTCGCGTGTGACGCACAAACCCCCATCACATCCACACAACGCCGCGAGGACGTTCTGTACTGGACCGCCTTTGTCTTGCCCGCGAGATGCGAGCCGGACTGAACCTGCTATAACCGGGCCGCCGCATCAAGACGCACTCTCCCATCGCCGCGGGCTACGCTGCCTCGCTCCCCGATCTCGGCTTTGTTTACTTTCTCAGTCGGCCCGCCCCTCCTCGTGTTTCTTGCTGGGGGGGGGGGGTGAAGTCTCGTGTCACTGTCGCCGTTTGACGGGGGAGGGGGGGGGGCTCTCTCCCCTAAATGCCTCCACCGTGGCCGTTCCACCACTACCCATGGTGGACGATGCCACACGATCCCCGGTTATAAACTAAATGTAAAAAGGAGCACCACGCGTTCGTCAATAACGCTGGCTTAAAGAAGTTCGTACTGGCGACGTTTAGAACAATGGATTTTCTTTACAGGAGAGAGATAATCGGTGGTGCTTGTGCACCACTGCCAACGTGGAATAAACAAAACGACTGTTGACCTTGGTGGTTTTAGTTCTCTTTGTTTAGTTAAAATGGTGTTCTCTTTGTTTAGTGATTGACGAATTGTTGAACTAAATCAAAGTTGCAACGCTCAACGTTGGTTTTGACGTCGGCACACCGCTCGTAATATATCCAGGATGCCTACACGCAATGTAATTGTTTCGCGTCAGAGTGAACTATCTTCTAATTCTTCTGCTGATGTCCATGGCGCGCGCACCGCGCTCTTTAGTCAACGATCGTGAATGAGTAGCATACATCACGGGATCAGAATCAGAATATTTGTACTGCAGGAGGAATCCGATGAGCCATGAAGCGCTTGTTCACAGACGTCCGGTAGGGACGGGTCAGAAGGTGACAACAACAAACGGCACAAACCCACGGTGGGAGGGCAAAGTATAGGAAAGGTAATCAGAAAACGTATATATGCAAATAAAACTAAACTATTGTTGAGCTTACCAGGTAAAGCCCAATGAGCTATTAGAATTATTTTCCAGAAGCGACCTGGCCACAAATGATAGCTCCACCAAGGGGTTGATCACGTGGAGCTTTATAGCAGCAACCTCGTGGGAGGTTGTGGAGTCTTGAGGAGGCCTTCAGCCAGCAGTGGATTGACCATGGTAATCGTTGCAGACGTGAACACACCGTCCGCATTTTTCACACGCGGTTGCTGTAACTTAACCTCATTCTCACCCAACACGAATTAAAAAAACAAATTCCTGAAGCCACCGCGTGGGCAACGGATTAAGTTTTACTGACGTGGTGGAACAGACCCCGCGCCTCTCTTATTTAAACTGCATTACTTATGCAGCGCAAGTCACCGTCTGTATTATCTATCCGTTAATGAGGGTCTATACACAACTGAGGCGCTGTGGCTTTCGCAAGCGAGGCGCTCATCGCCGTGGTCAACGTTGTCACGCACCCGGCTCCCCTGCCAGGTGGAGAGGCCACCCCGAGCGATCGCCGCTCTGGACACGCGGATCAGAGAGAACGGCGGAGGCAGGTTGAGACACGTACAGTGGAGCGAGCGCCTGTTCAGGTGTCTCGGTGGATTGTTACGTCGCGGAGGGGAGGGCCTTCATCCAGCAGTGAATCCATCACTGCTGATGATGATGATGATGACAGCTCTCATCTCGAGAGATGAGCCGAGTGCTCAGCTCGCGAGTTATTCACGCGGCCTCACCACGGCTGCTGCTGCCGCTGCTGCTGCCGCTGCTGCCGCTGCTGCTGCTGCACGCGGAATTATTGATGGGGCCGTCTGACCCGGGTCACCTTTCAACAAACCCGAGCCCCACGCTGAGCAGCACAGGGGCACGGCTTGGTATCTCGTCGCGATCAACGCGTTCTCTGGATTACAACAGGCCACGGAGAGGAAGACGCACTCCAGAACAACCTCCGTCGAGGCGTGGCGAATTAACCTCATCCAACAGTGGACTGACATCAGGGCAGAATATTTAAATCGACAAACTAGAAGCAATAAACAAAATAGGGTGACATTTTGGGCAGTGACCCTCCCAAGGTATAACTGGAGTCAAACTTTAACATTTTAAAGCCATCACCTACTTCCTGTATTGCGTGATATGGACAGGTCCATGGTCCAGTCTTTATGGACTCGTTCTAAGTAGGTCGGACACCGTATACTGTCGGCTTTAAAGCTCTGCGTGCCTTGCAACTCTGCGGGTAAAGGGTGCCATGTGGCTGGGAAAGGCCCTGTTTAATATTTGTGCCATTTTCAGGTTTCGCTAAATCTATGACGTGTTCGGTGTTCTCTCTCGTCGTTGTTGCAGAGAGGTTCGCGACACAAGTGCCACGGCCGTCCTAGTCAATACTGCGGGAATAATAATGATGATGATAATAACCAAAGCACTCAGCGCCGTCTGCTGTACGATGAACGTCAAAGATCCCGTGACATTATTCGACAAAGAGGACGAGGCATGTGCCGGCGTGATTAGGTCCACATTTGAAGAAGAAGAAGAAGAAGAAATCCCTGCAAATAGCTCAGTGGTAAAACACAAAGCTACATCGCTCCCTGAGTGGAGGTTCTCCTGGGTAGATGTACGCGAGAGTGTTTACAACAACGACAACAACAACAACGACGACAACAACAACAACGATCGTCGCGCAGGTCCCAGACTCAGGGGCGGGCCCCCTCCCCCACAGCCACTGGAAGGAGATCGCGCGCCTCGAGACGCGTCTCGTGTCAGTGTGCGCTCAGCTGATGACCAACGCAGTTGAAATACAATGGCAGTCGTGGTGGTGGTGATCGTTAGAGCATCGTGCAACACTGGGCGATTACACCACGGGCGACGCATCACCTCGGTCTGCTCTTGTTTTAATTTACATGTGTTCATTATTTGGTTGAAATGAGATAATTGAGCTTATGTTTGTCCAATAAAGTATTTTACTAGAAAGAGATGTGCGCGTGGATATAATGATTACATTGTACAATATCAGTGGCTACAATTTGAAGCGGTCTGCGCCGTGTCTCTGAGTGCCTCGTCAATTGCTATCGGCAGTCGCTGGGCTCATCACCGCGAGGGCGGCTTTCATCTCAGGATGCGGCCCATTGTTCTCTGCCTCTCAGGAGCTCGCCGATTGCTTCTCCATCCCGCGTCACTTCCAGTTTTGCCAGCTGGGTGTGGGGCCCTCCCAGGGCGTCGCTCTCTGGCTGATGATGACCCCGCGAGTTCATGCAAATGGGGCGGTGTGTGCGTGGCACAAAGGCGCTCAGCGTGTCTGCAGGCAGACATTGAGCAACCGGCTTCCTTGTAAAGAAGCGCTGATGGGGGGGGGTGGGGGGTGGAATGACACAATAGTGCACAACACAAATAAGCACACATTTGTTTCCCCGCGTAAATGGAATTGTGTACACATCCGATCGACCACATGTCCGTCGAGTGAGTGGATTCTTTCCGCGGTGTTTCGTCGGCAGTCATACTCGCTGAAGGCAATGCCGGGGCGGACTGCCCAACGTTTCGATATGGGTCCGAGCTCAGTATCATCACGAAGCGTCGTCGTGGGGAATGCAGCAGACTACGCCTCGTTCCCATACCTCTCTCTCCACAACAATGACAGTGTGTAACACCGCCCCCACGCTCACCGACTCGGGGTCACTGCACTCATACCCTGGGTTAAGGGTTTTTGTTACTCATTATCAATAAGAGACCCGCACTAATATCGTTTTTGTGTGAATTCTAGGGAGGGCAGGGCTGCCTGCGAGTCATGTTCCAACAGGTATGTGCCACGCGTAGAGGTGGCGTTCACAAACCTCCTGTATATCGCAGTGATATGTACGGTTACAGGCTGTGCTGTGGTGTGAATATTTCACAAGACAGGAGGTATTTTAAGACCAAATACTTCCCGTTGCAATAGTCAAAAAAACACTGACACGTCCACAACTGCTCGCCAGCATCTTACATAAGAGATATTGCATTAGTGTTGTCACTATTATGATGCAAGCCCTTCAATAGCGTTTTCATTCACTCACAAATATTATTTCTGAACCCATTCCACACGCAGTGCGCATCAAGGCACATAGAGGAGCGCCCGTTGCCCAACTGCTGCGCTGTTTGGGACACGGTGTGATATGATAATGGGGTGAGATAGTGGTATTTTATGTGACGTGCTGGTGTAAGATGCGGAATTTTTGTAAACACTGTGTGTTTTGTAATTGTGCGCACATCTCGCAATGTAAATCAATCGACTGTAGATTCGCAATCGCAAGGTGGTTGGAAGGGGATTAGTTTGGTCCAATATTGGGATCGGAGAGAATCCGATGGGGATCATTTACATCCTGAATCCCAAATAGGAATTCCCCTTCCCTTGCTTCGCCTATTCCAGTCGGAGCTCTCGATGAGCGAGCGCCGATGATGTCCCACACAGCGCGCGACCCTATTTGTTTCCCCAGTACGGATGTTCGCCCAGCCCAGCGGCGTGGGCTGCTCGTTATAGGCAGAGTCAACATCGGGGAGGTCGCTAGAACAGGTCCAGATGCCGCGTGCCATGGCCGGGACTCGAACCGAGGTGGTCGAGATTTGTCAGTAAAGTTACAGCGGCGTGAAGAGTGATCGCGTCGCTCGCGCGTGGCCGAGTTCCCATGGTGTGTGTGTATGTATGTGTGTATGTGTGTGTATGTATGTGTGTCAGTCTATCTATAGGACGACACCTGTTGACGTCACACAAATCAGTACCTATTTTATCAACCCTCAGTAGACGATGATGACGATGATGGACCTCCCGTCCGACTGCGAGCACTTTTACCCCCAGCAGCAGAGCGAGTCTGCCGGACTGTAGCGCGACACAGTCCCTACTCGACTCTAAC